AAATGTCTCGGCGGTAAATTATTTAGATTAAAGTCGCATATTTAATTTGACGTAAGTCTAGAATTACGAGAAAGCCTTTAGTCCTTCTTGTAACTCGATAAAAATAGATTGTAGAATATTCCGATCGATGAAACGTCGTCCCGATAAAGTATCTCGGCACGTCGGACTTTAAGTTCCTCGCAGGCTTCCGATTCCGCGCCCGCCCCGTTTGCGAACCCCTTGAACTAGGAAAACGCGAGTTCGAGTAGTTTAACTAACGCTTAAGCGGCCGAGCAGGTACATACCTTCCTCCGTTTATGTGCGGCGCTCGCAGCCAAAACTACATTAGATTCCAAATCGAGGAGGGGACAAAGTCGCTGTGTGAGATTCATGGCGAACTCGGGGGCACGTAAACTTCATAATTCCATTCAACCGCCCTCGATCGATTTGCCTCGCTTTAACAACCGAGGGGGGGAGGGAGGCGAGGAGGCTCGATGCGAGGCGGCCCGATCGGATTCACGTCGGAAAATTAATAGTAGCGCGAGCTTTTGCGAATCTGCTTTGACGCCGATCATCAAATCAATATCACGCCATCAATCTTGAGAGATGGGGGCGGAGAACATTTATCGAGCGCAGATCGAGAGAAAAGCAATCAGGAGTATTCATCATTATTACGCGTTATAGATAGCGTTTTTCTTTGAAATGGATTCGATTCAAGGTACCTCTCGATCGATCCAACGACGAGAGTGTCGCTGAATGTTTTTTTTATCGACACTGAAATATAGATTTCTCATTTTTACGGGCAATGAATGCATGACATAGATCAAGCGAGTAATAAAAAATGAGAACTGCAGCAAGATTGTATACAGAATGATTAATGAACTTATACGGGACATATCTCGTAATATATCTCGTGCTTTGTGTGCGATTTGTTACATTAATTAAAGTTCGCGTAAGTCTTTTAACATCTCGATATAAAAAAATTATCGTTCTTTATTATCTTCTTACGCCAATCAGTTATTCATCCATTTATCAGCGTAGGAAGGGACGTCCTTTTAATTAAAGTTCCGTTATACATTTTAATAATGCAGCCCCGACAAGAATTTCCACGGAAAGATAATATATTTATGACATCATTCTTTTTTACTGCGAATTATTCTATAGGTGTATCATAATGTTTGAGTTCTCTCACTCAATTATTTACTGTTTTTATGCTATATAATTAAGAATCATGCCTGCGAACGTCGGAAAAACATAAAGTTGTATCTCGCTTGTCGAATACTTTAGATTTTTAACGCATAGTATTGCAGACTAATAAATTTTCGGAAAAAGCATTTAATCCTCCATCTGTCCATTATTAAGGTTGATTTATTGATAAATGCTGATGATTCAAAAGGTTGAGTACATCGTGTAGGCGGATTATCTTGGTGTATTAAATTTCGACATGAAACTGACGAACGAACAGAATCTAATAGGCTCGATCGATATTAACTGGGGAGATTTTACCGATATATCACGACGGCAATTTCTATTTCTTCCGCCATTAATCTAACGAACGGTAATTCTTTCTTCGTGAAATCGACGACGTCGATTATATCCATTAATGTATGATAAATGGAATGTCGACATGCACTCTCTATCTGAATGAGATAAATATGCTTTTGTGGAAAAAAGTAATGTATGACAAATCGGCCTAATTTTCTTCTCTTACATATTTCATTATATAAATATAATAATATAAAAATAGTTTGGTCAATATTAAAACAGTACGTCGAAGATAAAAATGTCTAAAGTATGTTCAACAACGGGCACGTTCAGTCTCAAATGCAAACTTGAAAATATTTATTTAAATAGTTTTGTTTAAATAAAATATCATTTGGGAATTTAACCTTTGAGGAACAAAGCAAATATTTGTTTAGCATGTAAATAGTTAAAATGATTAAACTCATACAATGAGAAAAATTTATTTCAATCCCTAACGTTGTTTGTAATCTCCGACAAGAAATATATATTTGAAATGCTTCTTTTTATTAGCGAAATCAGCTAAATATTCCAACAATAGAATTTTAATTAATGTATAAATAATTTTATTATTTTAATTAATCATCTATAAGTGACACGGTTGAGGAAATAAATATTTTCTATAATATTATTTAAATATTTATATGTTTCCAATTAAAGCATATTTAAAATTAGCAATAATTGAAATATAATTATTTCTTTTGTTTCCACTCCAATTGTGTTAGCATTATACATTGTACCATCTTTAATAATTTCATTTTTTTAAATTAATCGTTTATAAGTAACACAATTGAGGAAATAAATATCTTATATAATATTATTTAAATATTTATATGTCTCCAATTTAAAGCATATTTAAAATTAGCGATAACTGAAAAATTATATCTGACATATAATTATCTCTTTTGTTTCCCCTCCAATTGTGTTAGTACATTGTACCATCTTCCGCATATTGTGGCACAAATTGAGAGGTGTTTCTCATCGCGATTAATATTATTCGTATGCTAATGGAGCTCTAGCTCGCCAATCGAAACGCCCATGCACGATCGAGTCGAGAGTCACTTCAACTGTCGAACGCGATATACATATATACATATATATACATATATATATATATATATATATATATATATATATCTCGCACCACACACGGTGGATTTCTGTTTTGCAATGATAACGAGAGCGCAACACAATGAGTATTCAGAGGTGAGAGAGTACATGAAAATGGCGCGAATAATTCGGCGGGGTGCGAACCACCTCTCGAGCCCCCCAACACTTGTTGCTGCGAATTTCGACTGGCGAGCTAATGTCAGCCACGAAAAATTGCAGACGCTTACGTCCACGCTCATAAAACGCTCGAGAAAGGGATTTACGTGATCTATGGCTACCCTTGACGTCAGGAAAATGGCTTTTATGAATAGTCGATATTCGACCGAAGACCCCCTTCTGTCTACTCACCGTTCCATTCATTCGCATGCTCTCTCTATGTCTAATAGCGAATTCAGTTGGACGCACTAGTGCGCACTGCTGCACATTAAAGGCTGTCGTAAATTCACAATAGCATGAGTAATTAAAACAGTAAGATAATTAATATTACGAGTTATTATTATTATTGTCCAATAGAGAATAATAATAACAACTCGTACAATTAAATTGTCTTTACCGTTTCAGTTATTTATGCCGTTGTAAATTTATGTACGACCGCTTTTAATAACTGCGCGCTAAGTTATGTATAACGTATGACGTAACGCGCACATGTGGATATAATAATTACAAATTAAAAACCAAGTTTCTCTCTCGCGTTTGCCCATCGATGAGTGATGAATAGCCCGCGGTAATTGAGATTCTCCATTTTCCGCACACATGTAAAAAATCATGTAAAGACAGAGATGACCTGTTTTCGCAACAATGGTAGCTTTATCCGAAGGCGAAAGCTCGTTTTCTCGTAAAGCTCTCTCGATGCGAAGACCCGATTGATGAATTATTCCTTGCTTGTCTCGCGAATCGGAGAGAGAGAGAGAAAGAGAGACGATCCTCTCTTTTAAAGCAAGGGGCTTAAAGAGCGATCTTTAACGGATGCGCTCGCTGGATTCAAGCAGCATCCTGTCGGTTTCTCTTCCGCTCGGATAATCGAAAGACTCTCGGCGGAGTAATCCGTCATCGTTTACCGAGTCAAGTATCCTCGGGGTATTTTATCTCGCATTATCGCGCCGTTACGTCGCGAAGGAGCGATCTCGAAACTATTCGCAAGATTTTTCCGAAAGCTCTTCCGCGAGCGAGCGTTCAGCTCCTCCGTGTTCCTTTATAACGCGACGCCAGGATGGGATCGCTTCAAAATTACTTTCGCCTTGAAATCACTCGCTCGCCTGTCCGAGGCCGTTTCGTTTTAAATGTCCGTAAAAGGCGACAATAGGCGACGTTTGCGAGTTTGAATTACCTCGAAATCAATTGCCACTGTCGCGTTTACAGACACTCGGGCACTTTACCTCCTCGCGTTCTCGCAAGAGTGACGTGAATGCACGCAGCGTTTCATTCAATCGCGATTAAAGTTTCAGGAGAAAAAGAGAGCAGTCGCGTGATAGTTGAAAAAAAAAAGAACAATCATGCACGAGGAATATGTTTCCAAGAAGTAATGGACATTTCTCGAAATGTTGATTTTATTATTTCTCCAAATGTCGATTTACATGCATCTTTCCCCCTTCTCCCTCTTTCGCATAATGTTTCATAAATATTTGTAAAATACGCTGCCTCCCCGATACGCTACATGATATTTTCGAATTGCCGCAGAAATATTGTGGAAATATTTTTCGAATGTTACTTTTAAATTTGCAAAAATGCTCAAACAATAACAATCGCAATGATGTATGCAATATGAAAAACTACGCTTTGAGAAGGTCACAGGTTATAAATATCAATTGTAACTGCAACCTGCATCGTGCTTACGATGCTATTCTTCATTTTTTTTTTTTTTATTATAGAACGGCTCTTTCGCTAACCAGAAAGACCTTTCCCAAAGATATTATCATCTCGTCCTGCGCTCTCGTTCTCGCATCGTTTCCCGTCAATAACGAGAAGACTCGTGGCTTTATCGAAAAATCCTGGATAAAAATGCATTCTCGTGTATGTACCGGACGCTGGGTGTTTAGATTATAGATCTCTCGGGTGACATTTCAAAGATTGGTATATCACTTTTGCCCTCTCGCACGAGGAGGCGAGGTCCTCGGAAATCCGATCGAGGATCGCCGCGAGCCGCGCTTCGGGCGGAAAATTCGCGTGGACGGAAGAGGGCCACCGGATGCACCGGAACTGCATTCCACGCACGGAAGCGCGTAGGACGCGGAGCGTGCGTGAGCGCGATTTCTCTAAGGGCGTTACGATGTACGTTGCGTCACACGTCCGCCGGTTTTCCGGATAGGGCAGTGTAATTTGGCGGCGCGGCGCTTGCGCCGCTCAAGGCGGGTCCGGGTCAACGGCAAGAACCCAGTCTAGTCGCACGACGAACGTTCAGCTGGCCTGGTTGCGTTGCGTCGCGACGCTCCACGAGTCGCCGCGAGTCTCCACGAGTGCCCGCGTTTCTGCCTTCCTCTCTTTCTCTCTCTCTCTCTCTCCCCCTCTATTTCCCTCCGTCTTTCTCTCCCCCGCGCGCGCGCGCTTTCTTTCTCTTTCCCTCTATTTACCTATGCCCCCCCCACCTCCCCGCACGCTCTTCCACCCTCGGCTCGCCAGCCCGCCGACGAAAAATTCGAAGCAACAGGACGCGATTGCGCCAAACGAGGAACGGAGGCTCCCGCGAAATTTCGCCTCGCGAAAAAAAGAGTGCCCGGGGGAGGGAAAACTGCTCATTTTCGTGCGTCAAGAAGGGGTTTTCGGGACGAGGGTAGCCGAGTGCCCGACTCGCAGAGCGAGTAATCTTGATCGCCGGGATCGATTCCGGGGGCGCGCGCGAGATCGCGTTTGATTTCGATCAAGCCAGACCCGCGTAGCTCGAGCGCCAGGAAGTTGTTAATCCGTTAACTCGTTAACTAGCGGCTAGATAAGAGCGGACGAGCGCGAGCGGCTAACGAAGCGGAGGAAGGGGGGAAAAGATCGACGGGCCGCGTAGTGAACTGTGAAACTGTCTGGTGATGCGTGATCGGACAACAACTTCCCGAACGGAGGCTGCCGTCGCCGACGCCACTTCCACCGTCGACGGTCCCGCGAGCGACCTGGTACGAGGATCGTCGATCGATATCGACGACGGGGCCACGGATCCCGGCTTCCTCGACCTGCCAGGATACTCGCATGCGACGGCTTAAGCCGGTAGGTGATTCCCCTCCCTCCCGCTCCGTCTGTTTTTCTTTCTCATTTTCTGCGCCTCCCTAATGGGGAACTTGCACGCCGCCGCAAAAAAAGGGAGGCTAAAAGCTCCGAATGCAACGGCCAGGAGGAAATTGGCTCGTATCGACCTCCCGCGAGTCTCGAACGGCCGAGGACGCGTGTTAGATGATGACTGGCGTCTCTTCGGATTCCGCGATCGTTACCTCGTCGAGCAAATCCCTCGTTCGATTAAAAACTTGGGACCCCGAGGAAAAAAACTCGACTCGACTCGATGCGTTCGGTCGCTTATCGTTTACTCGATTCCGACATTTAAGTATTTCGATCAAGTACGATGTATCTTTAAATATTTTTCAACTAAAAAATATATATAAGATGCATGATAATCAAGTAATTGATGAAAAATTATTTTAATCAAGTCAACGACTTTCCTGGTGTGCGATATAAAATTGCCAACCGGAGAATTTTTATAGACGACTTTATATAATCGTGCGCAAGGATATCGCGACGACGCAGACCCGAATGTATAGACACGATAAGATTTACCTTCCCCTCGCCAAGATTCTACTCGAGTCTGATCGAGGATGCGCGTATAATCATATCGCATTATAATATTTATATCGCAGCACGAGCACAGGGGCCGAGGTCAGAGGCGGCTTATTGTAATGGTCATTGAAGAACGCGGAAATAATTGATTAAAGCCTTTTTAAAAGCTACTCCAGCGTAAAGTCGATAGAATTGCGTCGCGTGTTTCCGGAGCGTAATAAAATAATTATATAAATTCTAATCTAATATATAGATTCTAATCTAATTATTGGAGCGTGCTGTATTATGTACACGTATGTCTGTTGCTTCGGAAAAATGTAACACGGTAACGACATTCGATTTCAACTTCTCGCTTTAAACGAACATCTTTTCCGAGCAACTCTAATGAAAATCTAAAACAAAAAGTAAAGATAGAGTATAGCTACAACAATAATTTGCACGAAAATAGTTAAGAGTTGTAAGAAGTATACGTTAAACTTAAATGAGATGAGATGAGATGAGATAAATTCTCAAAAAAAAGAAAAAGGAAAAATTTATTCTAGCTTATTTAAGTTGAAAAATGTCCAAATATATGTTATCAATTTTCAAATACATGTTATCGAGTTTCGCAAATTTTCGATCTATTTCTGCACGAGATGTCGTTTCCTTTTTAGCCGTGCTCCATTTCCTATATCGTACGCGATTCTCTAATATTTATATAAATAATGCAGAATGTAATTTGTGCGAGAAGCATTCACGGGATGTTGTTTCCACGATCTCTTTCTCTGAATCCTGAGAGGATGCAGCAAATCTCATTAACGTATAAATTATTGATCACAACCGCGTGCACACGTATATCGTGAAAATCAGGAACACAAATCTTTTTTTTTTCATTTATTAAGTCGTTAAGTCAATTAGACGTGATATCGTCTACAAATTAGTAGAAACACGCGAAAGAGAGAAAAAAAATAACAGAATAACATATACATGCACCTACGTGCTACGAGAGTTATTAAGAAAAATATATCCAAGGGTGCTTCGAGAGAGAACGGTTATCGTGCGGTTACATTTATCAAATGCCACGCTGGTTCATGTGTGTGTGCGCATTCGGGAGAGTGATTTATTCCAAGTAAAGAATAGCAATTAGTCGTTTTTCCGTGCCCGGCGACAATCTTGTCGCAGCACGAAAGCTTCGAAACAAATGGAAATATCATGGTAATATCATGGCACTATTAATTATCGTTATACGTTGGGCGGTACATGCGCAGGGAACTATGCGACCAACCGCGTCCCTCACTATCAACTCGCATTCGCGGGGATATTAATGCGACCGCGAGCTTTTTTTCTTCTCCTAATGTACAACCTCCCGTACTCGACTCGTGTACAGCCGCTCTACTTCCGCGGCGGTTATTTCGATGCCGAGCGTATCAGCAATTACGGGGCGAAATTACTCCAGAGTAGTGCCGTCGTATATTTCAATCGGCAGGACGAATAATGTTTATATCGTCTTAGGAATTCAATTTTCACGCCGCGTTTATTATTCGAAAATTTCAATTAATAAATAATATATATATATAAAAAGATGAAAAATTTTTAATTACAATTAACACAAATTTTTATAAATGGTCCAAATACTAAATTAATAATAATCAAAAAGAAGGCTATTTTAGACCAAGCAAAGCGCAGGTGGTAATGCATGACAAAAATTTTGTCAATAATTCTTTATAAAATCTATAATTCTTACAAACGTTTCGGGGCGAAATTATTCCGGAGTAGTGCGGTCGTATATTTCAATCCGCAGGACGAATAATCTTTATATCGTCTTAGGAATTCAATTTTCGCGTCACGTTTATTATTCAGAAATTTCAATTAATAAATAATATATATATAAAAAGATGAAAAATTTTTAATTACAATTAACACAAATTTTTATAAATGGTCCAAATGCTAAATTAATAATAATCAAAAAGAAGGCTATTTTAGACCAAGCAAAGCGCAGGTGGTAATGCATGACAAAAATTTTGTCAATAATTCTTTATAAAATCTATAATTCTTACAAATGTTTAGGGAAATTACTCCGGAATAGTGCCGTCGTATATTTCAATCGGCAGGACGAATAATGTTTATATCGTCTTAGGAATTCAATTTTCACGCCACGTTTATTATTCGAAAATTTCAATTAATAAATAATATATATATAAAAAGATGAAAAATTTTTAATTACGATTAACACAAATTTTTTATAAATGGTCCAAATGATAAATCAATAATAATCAAAAAGAAGACTATTTTAGACCAAGCAAAGCGCAGGTGATAATGGGTGATAAATTTTGTCAATAATTCTTTATAAAATCTATAATTCTTACAAACGTTTCGGTTCCTTTTTGGACCCTCCTCAGTATGACACAATAATATTTATATCAGATATAAAAGAGATAGAAAAATAAATAAATTACTGTACAGGCCGAAGGATAAAATTGTAAAAATAAACACAGTCAAACAAAAGAAATATTGTCAAGAATTTAAAATAAAAGCAGAATAAAACACAAAAACCGCCGATGCAACATAATATCCAGGAGACCGCAACAACATCCATGGGACCGAAACGTTAAAATAGCCTTCTTTTTATTATTATTAATATATATATGTCTCTCGTGTGTATTTTAAACAGGCGTCGGAAATCGTTAAAGTTAAAATTGCAAGTCGGGCGAGCGATTTCTGATCGGAAGCGGTCACGTGAATTATTCAGTCGCGACCGGAAGCGAGCGCGTCGGATAAAGCGGCGATTACAAGGGAAGGAGAAAGGAAACACGAGAGAGTAAAAACCGACCTTCCTTCTCGCAATGAGATTAGCAGTTTTATCAACGATAATAAAAGACGAGAAGAGAAGAATAGCGAGCGATGCGGTCTCTCTCGATTATCGCGACATTCCATGGCAAAAGTGAACTTCTTCGTTTCATTAGAGGCACGCGACGCGATCTAGCTTCTTCTAAACCCCAGAAGAAAATCTCTCAAAGAAACCGCTCCGACACACGACGAACCTTTAATAAATCCCTGAGACTCCGTCAGGCGAATGCAATATCGTCTTCCCGGTTGTCGCGCAAGCGACAATATGAAGCTTCAAAAAATCCACGGGGAGAGGAAGAGAGGCAGGCTTCCCGGGGGGGGGGGGGGGGGAGATAAAAAATTTCCGCTATCGGAAATACATTCGGAAACACGTTCGTACTCGCGTCGGAGGACCTTCCGAGAGGACGCGATGATCAGCGCGCGCGACAAGAGTCGATAAGGGCGAAAAATGAGAGAGACTCGGAGCTTCGAAACGGACAAAAGAAGTCGAAAAGGCCGATTCTCTCTCGCGAAAATCCTTGTTTCATGCGCGCAAAAAATATACGAGATTACAACGCTATTCTCCGCACGAGCATGGTTCGACGGTTCTCGAATAATGGATGCAATGTCCGTTAGAGACGCGGTGCACGTTGGCCTGCATATTTCCTCCGCATCCGTATGCACATTTTTGCTCGTCCGTTTCCGGCGTTCGGACGCTTGCTCTTCCCAGTAGACGGTGATAACTCCCGTTAGACACGACGCCGCGCCCGCATCCACCCAACTGGCGTTTACTGCGTTTTATGCATTTCTGCCTGTCTACCTGCCTCGCGGCATCGCTCTCACGGTCAACGGATACGCTCGTGTGCGTGAGATCTCGTCCATTGTTACTGGGGCTCGGTGCATGCCGTAAATTACTAAATGCATCTCAGTGCTGCGGCTCGCGCGCACGCGCGCGCGACTCGCAACCTCTCGCTTATAAATGTATGTAAAATATATATACCGTATAGAATAATATATAGAATACATGTATAGCGGGGTATGGAGATAACGGAAATGTTACATTCGAGAAAACGAACAACGGGGCTATGATTCTGCGCAAATTGCAAGATATACAGTGTATTATGAATGAGTAACACAAGCTGGCGGAGCTTTATGAACGGATATACGGTGATATTTCATACAAATAGCGGATTTACACAGCTTTGCGGAAAGAAAGAGAGAGAAAGATGCGTAGCAATATCTCAGAGTAATACGTCCGATGAATAAATCGCGAACGCTCTCTCGGCGAATAATTTATCGCGATTTCGAAGGACGAGAGCGCGCGAGTGCACGCGCGTACGAGACGAATCGGCTTAATTTTGCATCTCCTTGGGTGAAAATTGCAGCCGCGGCGTCGCGTGTACGCGTACGTTTAAAATAGCGTGGGTCATCGTATCGATGGATCGTGTTATTGACAAGCCGACGACAGCGTGGGCGGGCGCGAATCGTCATTGGAGCCGTCAACTTTTTATCGACGCGGATGACTATAAACCGCGCTCGGCGAAAAAAATTGATAAATCGATAAAACAATATCCTGGACGCGAATGCGGAAACGCGAGTTTGTCGCTCGCGATCGAGAGAGAGGGGGAGGGGGA